CCTATCCGTCTCTCTAACACTTTCGGTCCTAAATTTTTTCCGTGGAAAAGTTTTCCTCTTTCTGTTGTTTGTTACTTGGTTACTTGCTGTCAATAGTAATCTCTACAGTGAGTAGTAGAAATATGTAGTTGCAGCGGTAATGCTGGCATTTGAAGTCGACGGTGGCAACTGCCATCGCCAGGTCCGAAATGGCTGAATTTGTCGACTCGTTGAGAGTCGTTTCTGTGGTTTCTTCCTCGAGTCGTACTCGTTTCTACGTTATCAAAATGTCCTGCACCTGCCTAATGTGCCACTTTTAGATCGCCAGTCATGGAAGGGAAGAGACCTCCAGTATGACGGGGTATGTCTGGCAGCAGGTTAAGCAAGCATTTTGTTAACATTTTATGGTATATTCTTACTGCTACCTTTTGCAAAAATGTTCAACAAAAATGTGGACGACCGACTCGTGGTTATTCACATAGACTGTTCGCCGCAGGGATCACAGGTATGGGAAGAAGGATTTTTCGTTTTCTTACTGCGTACTCTGAATAGATTTCTTTCAGATCCATATGGACCATCATGGTCCACTTAGTCGTGCCGTAGGGAGTGCTGCAAAAACCGACCGACTTTGTCGAAACGCCAGATCCAATCAGTCCGTGTGTGTGTTCTCCGTGTCCGAGCGGAAGGTCCAGGTGAGTGTCAGTCCGTGTCCTTCCCTTTGTCGGTGTCTGAACTCCCCATATGCATCTGTCCGTCCTTGTGCCCCTCTGTACGCAACTGTCTCTGCGTATCCTTCTGCGTGCTGCCCCGTCCCTGCTTATCTGCCCCTCCGTCTGCCTGTGCCCCTCTGTCTGTATATGCTCGTGCCGTTGTCAATGTTCTGTACACCGTCACTGCATCTGTAACCTGACACTGCGTCCCCCGGAATTACGTCACATTCTGTTCCTGCGGCTACAATGTTCCGGACTTGTACTGCGTGTTTCCCCGCCCGACTGTTATCCTCCCCTAACTCTAAAAAAAATCCCTTCATAATACTGCTTTGACCTGTTCAAATTCGGTAATGAGCATACTGTTCAAAAAATATCAACGTAAATTGCTTAACATCATCCCTCCAGCGAGAACGCCCGCCATTTTTACCGGAAAAGGGAATCCGACGAGAGAACCACGAGTCCGGTGAAAGTGCAACTAATCGCCAAGAAGAGTTGTAAAAACGAAGGGGTCTGCTAGTTTAGAGACGGTCAGAAGAAAATAAACAAGTAATCAGTGCACTCCTCTCTCTGTTCACGACCTTCTAATGTCCCAATTCTTGTTAAGCAGGCAACCTTCAATTCGCACTACCTACCGACATTGATGGGGTCGCCGTTTGGCGTTGTAGAGAAGTTAACCATGATTTGGGATAAAAGCTGTGAAATGGAGTTTGTTTCTCGTTTGCGGACGGGTTGATGATGTAAATCAGGCCGCGAAGTGATCTCGCGAAAGTCATGAGAGAAAATTAGCAACAATATGGGAATCCTTATCCCCCGCTCAAAAGACAACAATATTTGGCTTCTCCCTTCTCCCCCGCGGCACACCCTCCCCGACCCGCACCACCCTCCACTCCCGCAACTCTGAAGCTCTTTCTGAAAGAAAACACTTGGCCACGGGAATATAAAGAAATACGCCAAAATTTTCGACGGTCGAAGCTATGATGTACTCATCATATTAGATCGATTAACTTCCTTGTTCCTCAATTCTCTGAGTAAACTTATTGGTAGTCCAATCGGTAACAGCGAGCAGAACTTAGGTTCGCCACACATGTCTCAGCATGCCCCATCGACAAACAATGTGCAAATGTTACTCACGAACAAGATGAACGAAGAATAGTAAGCCGAACGTATGCTCAATAGACCCAGCAAGTTTACATAAATTCTCTGTTAGACATTTTTAATGAACAGTGGTTCTAAACAGAGCGATTGAAAACAGTAACGCAACGCCAGGACATAGGATAGAGATAGGTAAGTCAGCCTGGGAGCATCGCCAATTCTCAGCAGCCTCCCACATACAGACTTTGGAAGGGATTCACAGTGTACACTATGTTGGAAATTAGACAGGATTGCCAGCAGGTGCGGGCACTCCGGACATTGGTACGGTACACCTCCCCGCGCGAGTCATGCAGCCCCCGGGACGTATATTTGCCACCCTCCCACGAAGCGGCTGGAGGTTGACGTGAAAGCGGATAAGGAGTGAATGAATAACTGACCATGTTCAGAATGGAACGTAAGACAAACCCCACCGCAGAAGGCCGCGTGGTGAGAAAATTCACCCCGATCGATGAGACAGGGACATTGGCAGATGGTCGCCGAAGCGAGAGAGGCTTTGAAAGTCATTTGTTTTCAAATGTTTCCAACACTACCCCATCTCAATTTGTCGAAAGAATCGTACATCCGACTTTCAGGCAGGCACGAGTTTTTTTTTGTTTGTAGCGGACATATTTGTTTAAAATTGATCTCGTGGCTGTCATTTAGCATGGGAAAAAAGGTAGAAATTTTGAAACCCTCCAACGAGCGCTTAACTGCTACTTTGAAGTTTACATTTGGCAAAGTCGCCAGTAACACTGACTTTTTCAATAACGAGCTTCTTAAGCCGACCGATTTTTTTTTCGCGCGCTTGGGCTTCTGGCAAACATATCTCTCTTCAAAACGCTTTCTGTAACTGCCTTCCAACACGGAGAAAGCAAGAGACGATGAGGTTACTAACGAGTCTTCACTCGCAAATTCCTGCACTTCGTGCTACAACTGCCGGTCTGACTTCCTGGAGGTTTTTAAACACTTTCCTCATGTGTGGGAGTTTTTGAGCTTCGAAAAATCGTATTTTCCTCACATTTGAAAGAGTAAAGGCTTCTTTGGAAGTTAGGAAATGTGCTTTTTCAACAGGCACGGGAAGTGTTCTCCAGAAATGTTGACAATGAATTCCGCTTTTGCGCATCTTTGTTCTGAGCCTGGAGAAGCGAATCTTTCCATTTCTATACACCTCCCTTCTTGATATTGTCCTGATATATTTGGATCTCCAAAACAATCATTTCACTCATGATAAATCGTATTTGAAGCGTTGAGCAGCAACATCTTCTGCTCTGATCTGCGCCACGGATGGCGTTAAGACCTTGGGATGTCGCATTTGCGATTTTAGGAAAGGAGTGGGTCGCATTTGGATTTGAGAAATTTCAACCATACGTAAATAGTGCGAAGTGAGGTCGTTGTTTGCGGGAGTTGAGATGATTTTGGTGAAGACGTCGCGACTGAGGGTGGAAAACAGGCAGAAACTGGGAGTTTTACCGCGTTATCGCCATATTTATCTCCCTTTCCGATGGACGTTCTGAAGGAAAGAGCGCGCGGAATGTGGTGGGGTCGTGGGTCGTGGTGGGGGAGGGGGTTTTTCGGGAAGACCCTGAAATGCTAAAAATGTTTTAGATGCACAAGGAAGAAAATATTAAGGTGGCACCGACCATTGTCGCCAGAGTTAGTGTGCTGTTGAGTCAAGCATATTCAGGGTCACCGTTCTCCGGTAAATGAGTGTACGAGTGTGGCTATTTAGCGCCGTGAACTAGGTCACACAATCAGTGCTGATCTGATCTACATAGGAAGCAATAAGGGACTCCAAAACTGGTGGCCTGGCAACCAGTCACACCCTCGCGCACGCTACCCGTCTATTTTGCCCTGGCTCCTACTCTTCCTTTCTGTTCGATATTCAAATAAGATTCTGTCGAGTTATGGTTAATTCTTGAACTACGACTTTTTTGAAATCAACTTACGAATGCGTTTCATGTAGTAACTGTTGCTTTTGTAAGAAGTAATCACCTATAGAAGTTTGATCAACGTACGCTGGATTTGGCCTGTGATTTTGATCAGTATACAATGCGCACTGGAGCGGCCCCTCTTGCTACTACACCATCAGCGCTCGAATTAGTATTTTTGAAATGTGAATTGACAACTTAATTAACATTATATACACAATATCCATATTTCATTCGTGGAACGAAGCAAGTGTCCGCTAGCCACCGTACTTGATAGAATTGCAAGCCGCCCTCTGTAGAAGTGCGCGTACTTTGATGAGTTTGTAGAGGGTGGGGCGTACTTGCTTTGCTTCGGTTGTAAGA